CTTATCAGCATTCACATCGACTCTGTGATGACCAGGCCGGAGGCCTGAATGACTCTCCACACATGAGCCAAGTCTTTCTGTAACCTGAGTCGACGGGAGGGATCTTAGAGCACAAGGCCCTGCCCAGCTCAGGGGTCCATTCCCAGTCATGTGTTAGCTTCATGGCTGTATGGGAAAGGGGAAGGGGAGGGAAGGAAAGGAAAGGAAGGACCTAATAGCAGGGGTGGAAAGAGAACGGAAAAGCAAGTGATGCTACCATGCTGGGGTCAATGTGCATAAGGCCAGCCCTGGGAACCAGATGAAATCTTCCTGTGGTTCAAGGGACAAAGCAGGTCTTGGGGCTAAAGTGCTTATCTGAGAAGTAGGTTCCAGGGCTCTAGCTGGGGTGTCTGTGATGCCCCCAGGCAGGTTTCTGAGTGCCCAGGCCCCCAGGACAAGGACCCCCCACCACACCTTGCTGACTGCCCTGGCAGCATGGGACAGGGAGGCCAAGCAGCCTGTGTCTCCCAGCACCCCTGCTCTCACCCGCCATGCAGTACCTTTCAGCCCAGAGCAGGTGCATTCCTGCACACCTGTGGGCCTGATGTCTGCCCCTCTCCCCTCCCCCCAGCTCCACTGTGTAAAGATCTCAAGTCACCATTTAGAGTCTTCTTTCCTTGCCCCACCCCGAGAGTATTTCTGGCCCCAGAATGGGAAGAAAGCCTGAAACCTGAGCATCTTCGGTGACACGCCTGGAAACAAGCATTAATAGAAGCCTGCCTCAGGCCCCTGACACGTCTGGACAGCTGTTCAGCTTGTCCAGTCCCTCCGGCCCAAGGCCAGCCACTCTGGCTCAGCAAGGCACACTAAACTTAGCTCCCACCCCCAGCTCCATAACCACTGCCACCAACTAACCAGGCTACCACCACTTACTCTGGGAGACACTGCTGTCCTCTGCCTAGAGCACCCAAACCTCAGTGACCACCATGTCCCAGACCAAAGCACTGAAGGTTCGTGTGACCCTCTTCTGCATTCTGGTGGGCATTGTGCTGGCCACAGCAGCTGTGGTGACCGACCACTGGGCCGTGCTGAGCCCCCACCTAGAGCACCACAATGCTACCTGTGAGGCGGCCCACTTCGGCCTCTGGAGGATTTGCACCACACGTGTCGCCGTGAACAGCATGGAGGACAAGAGCTGTGGACGCATCACGCTGTCAGGGGGTAATGTACCCACTCTTGGTAGCCCCCCATCTCCTGCCCTTCACAGTTTCCCAGATAAGCTGTCCCAGGGAAAGAAGGCCGTTTCTCAGCCTGAGAACAAAGCAGCCACCCAGCCCTTCCTCCCAGGAAGGAGGATTGGAAGGAACATGGTACAGGGCTGGTGGCTGCAGCCAGGGTAAAATGGGAACATCTGTCCCTGACTACTTCCATATTGTGAGGCCTGGGGCTTTTCACCAAGAGCAGATGCTGGCCTGGTGAGATAAGAGACTCCAGGTCTACCAGACCAGGGGCTTCTGGTTCCAGCAGCGGTCACTCATTGGTATCCCAGCTCCATTCTCTTCCTGCAGAGAGAGGCTAGCTTGCTCCAGTTCCCAAGCCGGAGGGGCTGTGGAGAGTGCAGTTTTCTCCCTCAGCCTCCAGGCAGGAGCACGGACAAGACTACTGCAGAGTGTGCAGTGCCACGTGCACAATGAAAATGCTTGGTTCCTCGTTCTAATTACTAAGCGTTTCAAGCTGGTGACCGCAGAGTATGAAACCAAGCGTGAAACTCTACTGAGGGTTGGACCTGGAGTGACTGCACGAGTGAATGGTTGTGAGGAAGGGTGTGGTTGTGTCCAAGCCACAACCTTGTTGTCAGAAACTGCAGTCCTACTGCGCACCCTCCCTTAGCTCCAACCATGCAGAGTTCCACGGCATTTTCTTAGCTTTCCGGTCCTTTCAGGTGACCAAGCCACCCATGGCAAGTAAGTTTCTTGTCGAGGAGACCGGGTATCCATGTCACTGGTCTCTATTGTGCAAACGTGGAGCCTTCAGGATTCACAGTAAACAGAACTCCACGGAGAATCAGAGCACCAAGCTCTAGCTACTGTCGCCCACTGCCCTACCAAAGGACTATTTGACAGGACAAGGCCATCTCAGTCTCTGATTCCCCTGTATAGAGTATGAGACTTGGGGTCAACCACAAAAGATCTCTTCCTGTGCTTACAAATGTGTTTCCAAGGTGGCAGTGGATTACAGCATGTGTGCCATCCCTCCTGGTGATCAAGACTATTCCTTCTATTCTTTGAGACCTGCCCTTCAAAGTAGTGTGCATGTGAAGCAAACAGCCTACCTTCTCCCTCCTCTCCCTCCTCTTCTTCCCTCCAGCTTGCTTTAGGAAACCCCAGCCTCATGCACCCCTGCCGGGTACCCAGAGACCCATAAATACTCAGCAGACTTGAAAACACTGAGTCCCAGGGCAGAGGGCTTTGACAGGTGTGGGCATGGGCTTGAAGGGTATTGGAGAGCCCAGTGCTCACCCCCCGGCCACTGCTGCACACTCGTAAACAGATGCATCCTTCGGTCCGCTCCCTGGGCAGGGCAGGGCAGGGCAGGGCACCTTCTCCAGGGACTACTCATAGGAACGTACATTCTGGTCCTGTCCCCCTGTTCTTGGAATCCTCTGCCTTTTAAAGTCAGAGCAGATGAACAGAGTCCACACAGGGAAGAGACAGGCTGGCGAGAGTACCAGTCCCGGGGGGACCAGCAAGCATGGCTTGGCCTTGAGCCTAAGTAGAGTCCGTCTCATTGCCTTTGCAAACACCCAGACCAGCTATGAGTCATACTGCCCACACATGCGACACTGAACACTACCTTCCCCCAATAATCTTCCAAAGCACGTTCCTCCCGAGAGGCAGCAGAATGACATACATACACAGCCACGCCACACACCACATACCAATGTTTTGGTGAATTTGGCCAAATATAAGACAGTTGTCCTATAAGATTATATCACCTTGTGACTTCACAGCCACCTTAATTTGTGTAAGTAAACTTTACGATGTTTACACAATGACAAAATCGTCTAATGACACATTTCCCAGAACTATCCGCATACAACACAGGACCGTATTGACTCATCTAATCTCACACAATAGTAGGACTCTCCATTAGGTCCACACCATTACATCATTCCATGTTACAGATAAAGAAAGGGAGGCTCAGAGAGCCTGAGTAATTTGACTAACGTCACACAGTTAACGAGCGAGAATTCATACACAAGCATCTACCCCTAACATTCACCTTCATGATCACGGCATGTACCACAACCCAGGCAGTAGTTGCTCATTCTGCATGCAGTTTTCATTTGACAGGGAGGAACACTGAGGTTGAGCATGGCACTGTCATATTCAAGGCCAACACCTGAGGTCAATTCCATAGCCTCCACAATGACAGGAAAGGCTCTCCCCTGTTGTCAGGAGAGACCATGTGTCTGAAAGTCCAAGTGAGTCCCCAGAGAGGCCATCCTCTGCCCTTGATTCTTTCAGGCACTGCCTCTTTGGGGCAAGGCAGTAGCCTGCCTGAGTACCCCACTTCCCTAGTGGCCCATCTTTTTCTCCAGTCTCCACACAGAGATTAGGGCTGCATAGAAAAGCATGATGACACTAGCCCCAGGAATTTCTGGGACTCCTTTCATGAACCCCTACTGGGAGCAAAGGACCTACCTGGCCTTCCTCCCTCGAAGAGGTATGCTCTCTCTTCTGTGTGGGTCTTCAGATTTCTTCAGTTCATTTTACAAAACCCTTCAGTGAGTTGGGTGGAGACACAGCACACAGACTCCACTGTCGGGTGCTGATAGAAATCGTTTACAAAAAGGCTGAGGACAACACTGGCGTCAGCAAAAGTGAGAACTCGTATCCCCATCTCTCCAGTCTCAGCTCTCTAGGGTTTTACCCACATTGACAAACTTTTTTTTTTTTCCCGTATGTTAAAGTCTCCATTAGGCACTTAATACTCTGATACATTCTTAGTGACAACTCAGAGGCATCCCTTGTTAACTCATGCTCACCTTAGAGCTTAGTGTGTCCTCCGCTCTGCTTCTTTGAATTTGGCACACTAGATATTCTGAGCCAGAATATGTATAGCCAGAGCTATACATATATATATTTTTTGTAGGACTGGGGTTTGAACTCAGGGTTTTGTACTTGCAAAGCAAGTGCTCTCCCACTTGAGCCACACCTCCAATCCAATTCCACTCTGGTTATTTTGAAGATGGGGTTCTCACAAACTATTTTCTCAGGCTGGCCTTAAACCATAGTCCTCCTGATCTCAGCTTCTCAAATAGCTAGGATTACAGGTGTGAGCCACGTGTCCAACTACACTCAAATTTTTAAAGGAATAACCTACTTTGCAGTTTTAAATCACTGAGTCTAATAGAAGTAGAAATATTGGAATCACCCATAAGGCATTTGCAGAGACAAAGGAGCCTGGAAGAACCTCAGAGACCCTAAGATTGTTCTAGATCATCATTACGACATTGGGAACTCTGCTGACTTGGTCTAAGCCCTTGGGAAGGGGCCAGGCCCATTGAGGCAGAGCTGCACACCCCAAGCTCTGTAATGGGGTGACTGAGCTGGGATGGAGGCAGGAGGGAGAGGCAGAGTCAGAGGCTAAAAATCTGCAGACTCTGTACAAGACTGTCTCTGTGCCTCTCCTCCACAGCCTTCCCTGAACTAAGAGACCACTCAGGCCCTGCTTAGCTATCCTTCCTTGTTAAGTTCCACTTGACGCTCAGTTCCCAGACACCACCCACCTGGACAGAGGGGCAAGAATGGAGAAAGTGAAGTCAGAGTAGCCTCTGTCCATCTAGCAACACCCTGGGCCTTCCTTGAGTGATGCTGGCAGCTGTCCTGAATGAGACCTGGGTCTGCTATGCCCAGTCTGCCCTATGGGGCAGAGAAGGAAGGAGTTGTGGTCTCCCACAGGCAGCCATGTGGCCCAGGCGTTTCTCTCAGGTTCAGGACCGAGGATACTGGCCTTCCTCACATCTGAGTTTAAGGGAAGAGACAAGTCCGGCCCATCTATTCTTAGGCCCCAAGTTCAACCACATGTCAGAGAGAAGTAGAGGTTTCCAGAAGCCCTGAGAAGGACTCCTGCCCACTGGGTGCCCTGTCCCCACCTCCCCATTCAAGAACATTTAATAGAGAGGAAGGAGGGAAACAATGATCCTGGACCAACCAAGGAAAAAATTCCCCCAGAGCCCAGAGCCTGGCCCCTGCAGACACACAGCCCACCCCTGTCAGGTTACCCTGACACCCAGCAGCAGTCACTGTCTGCCCAGAGTGGAGCCTGGTGTTTATCTGGCAGGGGGGTCTGACTCCCAAACACTCCCTGTGCAAGAGTTGCCACAGCAACCCAGAAGACCCAAACAGCTGTGCTTGCCAGGCCCCAGAGGTGGCCACCGCCTCACAGACCCTGGCTCAGAAGCCTTTTAACTCACAGATAGCAAGTAGTCACGGAGTCAGCTGACCGTGAAATACACTTGAATCCAGTCAATTCTTCTCAGAGGGTTTTCAATGACAACAGAAATTGGCCCTTAAAGAACGAAACAGAAATGTTCCTTTGTCCAGCGGGAGACCCAAGGAGACTTATGACATAGCAGGAGCCATTTTGAAGCAGCAATTCAAGAGAATCTATAGCTGTTAATCTAACAAATATAAAAGGTTCGCGTTATGCTTTAAAAGGTGAAGGATTTATACGATCTGAAGAGAAACCAGAGTGTTGCATTATGCTTTAAAATAGCAACAGATGCTGTGAGAGAGAAAAGAGCAGGCTACGCTGACATCTCCACTGGTCGTCAGGCACCCCAGGTAACTCGGTTAAAAGGAAAGTGATTTAAATACAGAAGCTCACAGACAAGGCTGTTTACTGCAGCTAAACCACACCCCATTTCCGGGCATCATCCCCTTCCTCAACCTCAGGAGGGGGGGAAAGGGTAGCAAACACAGGATGAAGTGTCAGTAAGATCGTGTAGCCTTCATCTCAAGGGAAGCCATGCCTTTGGCAGACCCTGGGACAACATTTCCAGAAGAAACCAGGCATCTGCCTCCTTGCGATCATTCAAATGTGGTCTGGGGATGCAGCAATGTATTTCCAAACTCAATGCCACTTAAGCTGAGAGATGTTTTTATGGTGAGGATCAGGAACCCATAGGAACAAGAAATCAGTGAAGGGACTCACAAATAAAAAGCAAGGTAATTTAGTTTTTATAAAAAGAAGCATAAAATAATATAAAATAATCCATTGTCCTACTTCCTAAGTCAGGAATAGAGTATTAAATGTGTTCAACAAGCATTAAGTCTATACTTTGATACTATGATATATCTAGTTGTATGAGAGAAACTAAAAGAACAATAGAAGTGAAATTATACCCCAACACACACACACACCCCTCTCATCAGATCTAGATTTCAGGTCCCTTCTATGGCATTCAAGAAAATGATCAGAGGAATCAAAGTTTACCAAGGGAGTTCTTTTTTGTTGTGTTTGGTTTGGTTTTGGTTTTGTGTTTGGGCTTTTTTTTTTTTTTTTGGTGGTGGTGGCTAGCAATCACTCTACCACTTGAGCCATGGCCCCCGCCCAAGGGAAGTCTTGTATTCCGAGGATCTGATGAAATGACATAATGGCCACATTCGGCTCTCACATGGAGCTTCTGTGCCTGTCCCCAAGTTTTTCAAATGGCTACTCAAAAGAGCCCTTTGCAAAGCAGTTTAAGGCGCCTGGGGCAGGAGTTCCCAACTTGGCTGGCATCAGAATCTCCTGGAAAGCTTTTGAAAAATATTGCTTCCCAGCTCCCCAGGGAATCAGGGTGGGCCTGAAGTCTGGTGCTAAATTTGGGGTTCATCTCAGGTTTCTCAGCCTTGGCGTTGACATTCAGGGCCGCATATTTCCATGTTGTGGGGGTCATCCTGTGTAATGTAAAACGTTCATCAGGGTCCCTAGCCTCTATCTACCAGATGCCAGGAGCACTCCTCCCTGTACCAAAATGTCTCCAGGCATCGTCTGATGTCCCTTGGGGAGAAGCATCAGCTCATCTGAGAATTGCTGTTTGGCTTTTCATTGTGTATGTACCTGGTATCCCTGATGAATAACTTCTACCTGGGCCTCAGTTACTCCATCTGTCTAGTGGGGTTCAGACTCCACCTGCTGTCTGCCCAGCGGACCCTTCGCCTTTGCTTGCAAGTCCCCTATCCCACTGAAATGCTGCTCTAAGGGTCAGGGAAGCCTTCTGGCCCAGATTCAGGAATCAGGGCGATGGTGCCGAGCTCTGTCAGCTGACCCTCTTCCCAGCTACTGGACCCATCTCCCAGCTCACAACTCTCTCCCTCCTTTGCAGAGAAGAATTGCTCCTACTTTCGGCATTTCAACCCAGGCGAGAGCTCCGAGATCTTCGAATTCACCACTCAGAAGGGTGAGGCAGGGGAAGACAGAGCTGGGCAGTGGGAAGTGACTTCAGTGACATGCTACTGAGCCAGGGAGTCACTTGGCAAAAAAGTGTTGAATCCCTGCTCCTGACCAAAAGCAGCCCCAGCTGGGAGCCTTGTTGCCTGCCCCCTGACTCCAGGATGCAAGGGGTAGTACCCCTCTGCAGGCACTCGGGGCTGGTTCACCAGGACTGGGGACAGCTGGGGAGACTTTCCAGTCTGCTATAAGTCATGGCAGGAACAGAGCCAGGAGACACTGAGAAAATGGGACAAGTACTCATGTCCTAGGGAAGGTTCTTGGGGGCGAAGGAAGGGGGCTGGAGGATATGCACCTCCTTCTCTTACTGATCAGTCTTTAAGACCAGGAGAAAACATGGTCTCTGGGTCTCAGATCCATGGAGCCCACTGGCACAGTCATTAGGGTATAGCCTACGCCAGCATGTGTATGACGGGTACACGTGGTGTGCATGTGCCCACACAGACACACACACACACACACACACACACACACAGTGACAGACGCTCACAGGTGGGCACACCCTGATAGATCCTTACACACCACGGAGCTAGACAACACCCACACTCTCCTCCTCCCTGTCAATCCAGGACAGCCCACCCACAGCACGGAGCTGCCTGGCACCCGGAGGAAGGGATCAGCTCTAACAAAGTCAGGGACCACCACCTGCCATCTCCCTCTGGGACCTCTGTGGTGACACGTTGAGGTTTAGTGCACTGGAAAGACCCACGGTAGAATCCATACATCCTGTTAACATCTTCCCCGTGTGACTCTGAGTGCGCGCGGGCCTCTCGGGTGTGAGACAGGAATCAAGGCCGTGGTATTGTCACTAACCAGGCTAACGGTACAGCCAGCGGTGACGAAGCTCCCGGGTCGCGGCGGTTCTGAGGCCCCTGTGTTTTGCAGAGTACAGCATCTCCGCGGCGGCCATCTCCATCTTCAGCCTCGGTTTCATCATCGTGGGCACCATCTGTGCACTTCTGTCCTTCGGGAAGAAGCGGGATTACCTGCTGAGGCCAGCGTCCATGTTCTATGCCTTTGCAGGTAGTGGGGACCCCAGGCCTGGGCTGGAGGACGATTGGGGGCTCCCCACTCCATGCTTCCCAGGCTCCATGCTGGAGCAAAGCGGCCAGGAGGGCCTCAGTGACCCCAGCAGGACCAGGGGCAGAAGTCCTGCTATTTTGTTCATTTTGCACAATGACACTGTCTTCAGGACACTGCAGAAACTCACCAGAGAGCAATTTTTAAAAGTCGGAAGGAAATTCGGTCAAATCCTGGCTGCCACCACCACCCCCAACCCACCGCGGGATGTGGCAAGTGCATGGACAAGTGGGCCACTTCTGCAGGGCCCCTCCCCACCCCGGGGCAAGGTCAAGAGTAGTAGCCACAAGTTAAGGGAGCGCTCAGCGCCTAAGGGCCCCCCGGCTCTGTCCCCAGGGCTGTGCATCTTCGTGTCGCTAGAGGTCATGCGGCAGTCGGTGAGGCGCATGATCGACAGTGAGGACACGGTGTGGATCGAGTATTACTATTCCTGGTCCTTTGCCTGTGCCTGCACAGCCTTCATCCTGCTCTTCCTCGGTGGGCTGGCCCTCCTGCTCTTCTCCCTGCCTCCAATGCCCCAGAACCCCTGGGAGTCCTGCATGGATGCTCAGCCTGAGCACTAGTCCTCTGGAACCCCAGCCCTGGCCCAGAACCTTCCAGAGAGGGGCTGGGAGTTTTAACATCTGCCTCACTCCCTTCTACCCCGCCCATCACAGCCATACCGCTTCCCCTCCTTGAGCTCCTGTTGGCGCTGTGACCACATGGACGCCTGCCCAGACCTGCCCAGGCCTAGCAGGTGCACAGGTGTTTGGAGGGGCCCAATTTTCCATCCACCAAGCTCTAGGCCATCATCACCTCTGTGCCAGGTGTCTATGACAAGCTGGCTCCAGTCGTCTTTAAAAACCTTCCAGAGACACCCGGTACTCACTTGCCAGTTCTGGGCACCACCTGTGTAAAGAGCTGGTCCCTCTCTCTCATTCTTGGTGACAGGACACAGACACCCTTTTCAGTGAACTGAAACCCTTCCTGGGCTGCCAGAAACCCTGAGAAGTATTTTTAACTGGACAGAATTTGTGTTTTGAAATAAAATCTCTCAGAAAACTTCCTTTCTCCTGTGCCTTTGCATAGCAATTGCTTGGATTCCTGGCCGCAGAACCAGGGCCCAGACCTTGGAGGAGAAAGGACGGCATGTTCCTGAAGGCAGGCATTGAGGACATTAGAGGGGAAGGGTATGCCTGAAAGACTCTGATTTCCAACTTGTCTCTCTGGACCCTGAGATCGTGTGGGATGAAACTGGAAACCCTGTGACGAGGCAAGGGTGTTAAAAATAGGAGGGGTTATTTCTAGAGTTCGGCATGCTAAGCATCCAGTACCAAGAAGGCACTGAAGCAGCACAGCTGGGTCTCTGGCCTCTGATGCTGGATTATTTTTTGCAGAGAACATACCAGGAAACAAGGCTTAGCAGTCAGACGCTTAGGGCCGCACAGAGTGCTGTCATTTGCACTCTTCTGCCTTTCAGAGCCCCACTGTACTTACCGAGTTTTCAAAAAGGAAGTCAGACTTGTGCTCCTAGCTGTGAACATCAGAACTCCATTTGGAGCTAATTCTTCCAGAGCTGGAGTTTGCACACTTGGCCCATGGGACAAACCTGGCCCACTGCCTCTTGTGAGGCCTGCAAGCTAACAGGTTTTTACAACTTTAAATGCTAAAAAAGAACATAGCAGGGAGATCAAGAATATCTTATAACACATGAAAATTACATGAAATTCAAATTTCAGTGTTCAGAAATAAAGTTTTATTGGCACACAGTCACCTGTTCCAATGGGCGCACAACATGACTGATGTTGAATAGATTCATCAGACATGTTCTGCCCTGCAGAGTCTAAAATGTTTCCTTGCTGGTCCTTTATGGGAAATGTTTGCCGACCCTGTATGTTAGCTTTCTGTCATACCTGAGATAATCAACTTAAGAGGAGGAAGGATTGATTTTTGCATTTTCAGAAGCTTTAATCCGTGATCACTTGGCTCCATTGTTTCTGGGCCCGTGGTGAGGTAGACATCAAGGCAGAGAGCACATGGTAGAGCAAAGCTGTTCGTCTCATGGTGGAGTTGGAATTGATAACCCTCCAGTGCCGAAAACACACACACTCGAGACAGAGAATCTTGACGAGGCAATTTTCTCTTGATCAAGAGGGTGCAAGCATGTGCTCACTCCTGCTAAGCAAACACGCAAGCACAAAATGGCTGACAGTGGCTCCTCCTTATATCCCTGATGCAGTTGTACCTGCCCCTCACCTGGGATTTATCCAGGTCAAAGGTTCACAGTCTTTCCCGATTGGCTAAAAGGCTTGGGGGATGGGTTAGAGCATGCAGTTGGTAGGCAATGGAGTTGTACAGGAATCCAGAAGAAGAAGCAAGGACCCTTTAAACACGCAAGTCACCTAAGATGGCGACCTGAGGAACTTTTAAGTAATCTAAGAGGGTAACAAATACTTAGAAAAGACCATTTTTCTTACAATTTTCCCCTCTTTTAATTTAAATTCTTTTCTTCAAACTCATTTAGGAGCCGTTGGCTCTCGGGTTCCTGCATTTTTGACAGAAACAAGTTATTTTGGTAGGGTGGGGTGATTGTTTGGTGAGGGCTGTCTCAATTAACTGCTGTATTAGTCCTCAGACACAAGGAATTATGCAGCATCCTACTAAAATTTAAACTCCAGCCACGGCAATCAAGGAGGTTAAGACTGATGTCATCCAGCCCTTCCATCTTCCAAACCAATTTCCATTAAGTCAGTGAAGGGATCATTTATACCTGAGTTTTCAGCTAGCTTGTTAGATAGGGTAGCTAATCCCTGTAGGGCCTCAGTGATAGTTCCATCAGGGGCTGTATTATTTGGTATATACATGCAACAGGAAACTCCAATCATTATGCAAATTCCTCTCTTTTTGGCCAACATCATGTCTAATGCTAGCTTGTTCTCCCAAGCCATCTGACTAGTTGATCCCAATTGCTCTGCTATTCCTTTGATGGCATCCCTGGTATAGTTAACAAACCTTTATTGGTTATAATAAATATAATTAATTCAATTGACATTTTTATTTATAGTGGATCACAAAAAGAATACTGATTCAAACCCCACTGCAATTTGGTTCCTGGCTTTGAATGAGTTTGGCACTCCCCTAGGAACCCCAATGGCATCAATGTAAACATGGGGAGGAAAGGAGCCTCTGCGATTGGCTATGGTGTCTGTGTCTGTGTCTTTCTTTTTTTTAGGTGTTGTGGCACGGGCTGGGGATCTAAATGATAGGGTGAAAGGGATTGCCAACTGCACCAAAGCAGAGGTACCTGCCCAGTTACCTGGAAGAGTCTCAAGTAAAGGTCCTCCGCAGTATGCCAGACATCAGCTCTGCCCAGTGAGAGTGTGGACTGGTTTGTGAGGCTGTTGAAGGACCGGCTTTCAGTGCATCCCATCAGGTTTCCCACATTTGTCAATCATCCCCCCTGTCTGGTGAGATGTGGGGTATAATTGACATCTATGGTGGGTGGCCTAATAGTCCTCGGGGGCTGACCTGCAGGACCTCTGACCTCTGGGAACAGTAGTGATAGCGTCTGGCAGGATTCATTGCTCCAAGCCTTGGCATCCTGAAACAGAGCCAACATGCAATAACTCCATATGGATCTGAGGACCATCCTAATGAAAACAGGACCACCTGAGACTCTGGTCTCCCAGTAGTACAAACATAGCAATCGCTCTTATTCAATGTGCAGACAGAATATTTTATCTATTCCATCCAAATATTTGTAGCCCTGTACCCAATTTCAATAGCCACAGTTTGTCTTAGGTCCTTGACTTCTACTATGGTTACCTGAGTTCGATTGTTGTACAAACATGGAGGTAATGTTGGAGTGGAGGTAGAACTGGGTATCACCTGGGAGGGGTTGAGATTTAGATGGAGCTTAAAGGTACCTAATGGGTTTGTCCCTGAGACATCTTCCCCAACCCATATCTACGAAATATAGATGGTTCTTGTGTCATACTCCAAGGGCTTTCTATGACTAATCTAAGTGGGTTACATTGTTTATCTTTACAAGTAGGAGAGGGGCGTCTCTGAAATGGCAGTGATTTTGACTGTAGTCTGTTAAAAGACTGTTGATTGTTCTGGATGGTAGAAATTGGAGTTTTCCAGTGCCTCAGGATCTGGTCCAGCCCTTAGGATTGTCACAAAGGGCACAGTGTTTCACCCCACATCTGTCCACTCTTGACAGATACCAGCTTCCCTGTGGGTTTCGGGATGGGACACATAAAAGGAGTATCCTTGGAGCTGGAGTTGGGTGAGGGCGCCTTCTTTACCCATGTGTGATGAGTCCATCCCTGCTCTGCAGTCCGGACAGCTGTCTCCGTAGTCATCAGGACCAGGAAGGGTCCTTCCCAAACTGGCTCAAACTTATTTTCTTTCTAGGTCTTGATTAGCACATAATTGCCAGGCTGGTGCCAGGTGAACGGGAAAGTCAAGTGGAGGAACCTGTGCTAACAACCCCTTTTTCCTAGGACAAAGTAGAGGACAATCCAAGTATATAATTTTTGAGGAAATAGTCTTTGGTTTCAAAGGACGGTACATCAGTAACAGAGCTAAGGTAAGGAAGCCCATAAAGCATTGCATAGGGGGAGAGGCCAATGTCCTCCCGAGGGACTGTCCTAATTCTGAGTAGTGCTACGGAAAGACATTTAGTCCAAGGTAATCTCGTCTCTAAAACTAATTTAGTGAGCTGATTTTTAAGAGTCTGATTTAGAGCAAACAATTTGCAAGTCTGTCCTGACCAACTGTTAGGGAGTCAGCCTGATTCTATTACAGTCAAGGCCTACCCATTATGTCTCTTTCCCTCAATTACCTGAGAGGATCCACCCACAAAGAAATGGAACCCAGTCTGGAAAGGAGTTTCCCTGAGGTCCGGCCTTACTTTGTTTGGTATTCAGCAATATCTAAACATTTGTGTGTGAGGCTCCTCCTTCCTGATTCCCCTTCCAAGAAAGTGGCTGGATTTAGTTAGTCAGGTCATCTTTTTCTAGCAAGATAGCCTCATACTTTAGGATTCTGGAATCCGTCAGCCATCTACCCACCTTCTGGTTTAAGACTGTCCTAACTTGATGGGGAGTGATAATAATTAGGTCTCCCCCAAAGGTGATTGTTCTACTTTCTTCGGTTAGAAGAGCTGTAGCTGCTACTGCCTGAATGTGCTCAGGCCAACCTTGGTTACAGGATCTAGGAATTTAGATAAGAAGGCCATAACCTTCATGTTTTTGGGTTAGCACCCCAAGGGCAACTAACTCCCTTATTTACATTCACAAAGAGGTGAAAAGGCTGTTCAAGAGAGGGCAAGGCTAGCACCAGAGGTGTGATAAGGGCTTGCTTGTATTTTATCCCTTTTTACATGTAAACCAATTCCTAATCGGGTCATTAGATCTCTTCCAAACAGGTTTGTTCCTGCCTTAGACTAGGAGAAATTGTATCTTAGTGGTCCTGTCTTGGAAATAAACATCTGTTTCTTGTAATATTTTAACTGGAAAGCTTTCTCCCTTTACCCCAGAAATTAGTATCCTCTCCTGGGACTAGATTAAGCCCCTGGGCAGAAGACAGAGGGAGGATTTAGAAGTGCCTGAGTCAATCAGGAAGGTGACAACTTCACATTGTGGTCCCATTTCTAAATTTGTCAAGGGCTCTGAGTGGGACCCTTCAAGGTAAAAGAGCCCCTGGTCCCCTATTCTTCATCAAAGGTCATTAAAGGAACAGTTTCCCACACTCTCTTTCCTTCTGGACATTCTCACTTAATGTGTCCAGTCTCCCCACATTTACAGCACTTATTTTTCCCTCTGTCCATCTTCTGACTTTCTGGTCTCATACCCATGAGGGAGGCCGGCTGGTTGAGGTTGATCATGGATAACATAATCTTTGCTTTTTGTTTTTGTTTTTCTTCCTCTCTCCTTACATATACCTTTTGTACCTCTCCTAATAATTCCTCTATGGATCTATTTTTCTAATTTTACAGTTTTTGTAATTTTAAGCAGAAGCCTGAGGGGCTGGGAGTTGAAGGGGGTGGAGGTGGAGGGGTGGAAGCCTGGAGGGCAGGGCTGGGGCCGGCTCTGGTGCCTGAGCTGGAGGGAAGAGCAGGCAAAAGGGGGAGGGAGGGAGGAGAGTAAATCCCAGTTAGAAAAGGGTTTTGAGCTTGTTTTTTTTTTAGTGGAAACAGGACTACAGGACTCTGTCTCCAACAGAGGGCATATTCCATCTCCTCTTTTGTGACTGAGCTTTTGCCATTAACATGCTCAATTAATAGTTGACTGTCCTTGTCAGACCCAAATTTTGACCAAAATAAAAACCAAAGGCTTTAAGATCAGTTCTTGGGTCCAGATAAAACAACAGTATTTAACCATTCTTTGTTTATTTTTCCCTTTAGTATGGGGGCTATCATCCCAATATTTTAACATCTTCCCTAGGGAGGGTATTTTATCCTGGGTCTTTGTTTTCTGCACCCCCCCCCCCCCCCCCCGCCTTTGCTACCTTTATTTCCCATTTCTCCCTTCTGGTCCACTATGCTCTATCAGGAGCTCAACTCCTCCCCCCCTCTGCCTTGGAGGTTTCTTGCACACACTCATTCTTTTTTGCTTTGTCTGTCTCTGCCCACATCCTTTGTGGGAGCTTGAGGCACCTCTTGGTAGCCTGAGGGTCAGTATAAACTGCTGACCTG